TATATATATATATATATATATATATATATATCTCGTTTAGTCATTTAGCTGACGCTTTTATGCAAAGCGACTTAATAAATGAGGACAATGGAAGCAATCAAAATCAACAAAAGAGCAATGATATGCAAGTGTAGGGTGACCATACGTGCCATTTTGCCAGGACGCGTCCTGGCCTGGGTTTGTTTTGGCTTTGTTTTCCTGTTTTCATGCTTGCTGAAGGTAATGATCGAAAAGTAGTTTGACCAATAACATGCAAGCATTGTACATAATGGACCAATCATGGTGTGTGAGAAGGTGGGATCTACGGTCAAAGCGATTCAATTACGCGTACATATTAGGTGTGTTCGACTTAAAAGCAGTGCGGCTCAGACCGATCAGTGTTTGACATCAAAGTACCTCGAGAGCGTTTCGAAAGCATAACCGTCTGTATGGTACTTTGATGTCATACACCGATCGGTCTGCACACGCAAACAAAGCCAAAACCTAGATATTTTAGGCAATATAGAAATCCTGGCCAGAACGCGTCCTGGGAACATGGCACGTATGGTCACCCTACTATAGTATTTTTTCATGTGGGAATATTAATAACAAACTAAAATAGCCTATAAATAAATCGCGTGGGATCATAATACTGAAATAACATCCCAAGATATATATATTTACAAATGCGAAAAGCACTAAAACTGATTCATGTGTAATTATCTTTTCTGTCCAACAGGAGGCAGCAAGTAACTAAAGACGGCCTCCTCAACTCTTAATCATTTAATTAGAGAAAGATACAAAGGTAATTACTTAGCATTAATGGTGGTCCTTATGATGTCTGCCTGTTTGCATATGCGACCTCCATCTCACCTGTGTGTTAAAATGACTACATTTAAAAAACAATGCTGTGGACGATACAATATAGGGAGGGACACAAAAAGAGTCTCCTGTGGTAAATCTAGATATGATGAGTGACTTTTTCTCAGCTGAATAATTAAAATGTCTGCATAGCTCATAAAACAGGTCCCTGAGCTGTTCACCAGCCATTTTAGAGAATGCAGCTTATGTAGTTAGCTTTTCTTGGTTTTGCCTGCTGCTGTATTTTGAATGTTTTACATATTCATAATTTGTGCACAAGCATATTAGATGAGTAGCTTCACATTGTCAAGCTGATGAATGCTTGCACAGAAAAGAAGATGTATTGAATTACAAAACAGGACGAGGTATTAAGCATGCAAATGAGAGCGCTATAAGATATGACAGGCACTTTGCTGAATTTAAAGTTAAACACAGTTGACCTCAAGACAAGGGCATTATGTACAGTACATGTCTTTGGAAAGTGCATGATATTTAGCATATATGCATTTTTAATAATGGTGCATGGACATTATAATGACACCCACTGAATCACGTTCATTTATTAAGCCTAAAAAACCTATACTGCATCATATTCGATACATGAATTTCTAAAGCCTCTACATTACAAACGTGATTTTTCTTAGTATTATTTTATATGTAAGGCTTTACAGGGTTAAGAAGAAGAATGGTTATGTCACACTGGTCTAAATCCAAGAACGCCAAAAGGCATCACCGATTTTTCCTGGCCTGGGACAAATCTTCCCAACATTGGCTTTTATGCCTGAACTAACTTCAAAGCCATGTGGCATATGATCTGTGGTTTGGCTGTTCACTGTTGGTTTAGTGAATCAGAAAAAGACTTTGATTGATTCTGATGTGTTAAAAATGAAGCCATTGTTCCCATCTGCTGGATCACAAGTGTTTGCATCTAACTTAATGGGCATCTAATAACTCAGACTTTATCTCGACCCCTCCAGATAAATTTTTTTTGGTTGGTCACATCATATTACTCATTTCGAACAAACAGCCATTCTTCTGCTTCTCTTCACACGTTTCAACTCACCTTTGATTCAGCTCTGTAAACATTCTCAGTCCAGCTGCCATATTTATTTTATTAATTGAGAACAGATAAGGTATTGTGAAGAAACCTCTTTGTGAAGAAATCTTTTTAAAACTGAGAGAGTTCACTTAAAATCAGTATTATAATCTGTGTATGTTAGATGTAAGAGGTTTTGAATGAGAAAAGTGGATTTTATCTCAATTGTAATGTGTAATTTATTACAAATATAATTGACACTACATTCATTTTCTTGGTTACCAATTCAAATTTCAAGTATATAAATACTATATTCAGCTATAATCAGATAAATGTATTTAGGCCTACCGAATGGAGGTAATATTTTAAGAATTGGCTATTGGAAACCACAACCTGAATAGGCTGTTGTGAAGATGCATCCTCTCATGGTGTTTGTAGTCTGAAATATTGATTCCTTTTCGAAATTTAATAATATAAAACAATCAAATTAACAATTTTCTTTAAAGGAGACATATTATGCCCCTTTTTACAATATGTAATATACGTCTCTGGTGTCCCCAGAATGTGTCTGTGAAGTTTCAGCTCAAAATACTCCACAGATCATTTATTATATCATTTTGAAAATGCCTATTTTGAGTGGAAGCAGAAACACGCAGTTTTTCGGGCCTGTCGCTTTAAATGCAAATGAGCTGCTGCTCCCCGCCCCCCTTCTGATTATCATGTTTATCGCGCTGACGGCGCCGTGGGTGTAAACTTACAGATTAAGGGGCGGTAATATTATAATGAGATCCTTTTGCCACGTCACCAAGGGAGCGAAATCAGACGCGCTAGTTTTTTCAGACGCTTGCAGAAAAAGGCTTACCAAAACAAAGTTACTGGGTTAATCTTTTCCACGTTTCCTTGGTTGGTAGATGCACTGGGGACCTGATTATAGCACTTAAAACCTGGAAAAGTCCGATTTTCATGATATGTCACCTTTAACAAATGACGTTCAAACTGAAGTTGAGAGGGATGAAACCAGCAGGTAAAACACTGTGTCGTTCTTTAATAATTAAACGAACAACTTCCTCGCAGTCACGCTTAATCTGCACACAATCTGTCCATGTTTTAATTAGCAGTCTGGTACATTTGTGCAGAGTAAGTAGGCCTACTCGAGTTGAGAGAGAAGTTCACGGGATACAACTCGAGTGCTTTTACAAGCATCTGCCCTTTACAAACTCTCTCAAGACACAGACGGTTTATTCTGCGATGCAACAAATGATCAGATTTATTTCCATTACGCTTCACTGTCTGCTTTGCCTGTCGTTTGTCCTGTCTAGACTGATTTCTGGATGAATCCCAGAATGGAATAGACAGACAGAGATCTTGCCAGAAGCAGCTATTGCACTGATAATGCTAATGTGCTTCTATATAGAGTCTGAAGAGACCAGAGGAAATCTGGCCAACCATAAACTCTCAGATTTGACTGAAATCTCAAGTCATTTCCCCCTTGTGTTTACATCATTTAAAACATGGAAAACTGAGATTTAATTGCAACAATAGACTCCTTTCTATTACCAACTGTTGAGAGCAAAAACAAAAATGACTTTAATGCAAATATTCCCTTCAGAAAACATTAATATCAGCTAAACTATCTAAATAGTGTAGAAAGGAAGAATGAATGCATCTGATGTCACAGTACACTGAAAATATTATGCCAAACATGATATACTTCCATGTAAGCATGCATTTTCAACTAATATCATTTAACTGTACAAACCTAAATGAAAGTGATGATTTACTCATACTCAAAACAATGGCCATGTTCAAAATAACATACTAACAATTCACTATACTACACCATTCCTGCAGTTATTCTATGCACATTTTCTGTATGCATAAATTACCTGGCTGTATCCCACGATTCACTGTAACTCGTCCAGATTGTCCATTTCCAGTATGACAAATAAACTTGTTTTTGGGTCATTATTTGTACAGAGTGCAAAAACTTCAGACACTGTCTGTCACACAAAAATTTAACTGCATTATGGTTTTGATGACCATGATGCAAATTCAAGGTAGAACAAGAGAAATATGATCATGTCATCACATTATGGGCAGCAGCTGTTTTGCATTCAGAGTTCAGGCAGCAGGAAAATCTGCCACACAAATTATAAACAAGTTAATTAAAACAAATGAAACAGTGCACAGTTTGAAATATAAGGAGGTTTATAACAGAACAGTGTGCACAATGGTCCATGAATATGTGCGTCATCAAACGTTACACTCGGCTTGAAAGAAGCTCCTTAAGATTGCTTGACTCCACAGGGTTTTGCTGGTACAAGTTTAAGTTTAAAGAGACAGGCCTGAAGCAAATATTCAGAGTGATCATGGAAAGAACACTGCGGTCAGTGTCCTCCTGTGTTGTTATCAAAAAGAGACTGGAAAGCTGTGGGAATGACCATAAATAGAAATAATGGTGAATTATGTGGTGCCAGACTCTTATTAGTTCACAAATCCCCTGTTGAAAACCCCTGTGCAAAAAGTTACATGCACATGTATAGAAGCTTATTTCCATCAAGGAATGAAAAAATAAAAAAGGTAATTGCAACTTTTTATCTCACAGTTCTGACATTTCTTGCAATTCTGAATTGGTACCTCACAATTGCAAGAATGGAAATATTAATTCAAGAAAAAACAAAACAAATGTGAGAATAAAGCTGCAGATTGTGGGAAAAAGGCAAAAACTAGCTTGTTTTTTTCTTCTTCTTGCAATTGCAAATTTATATCTAATTCAGACTTTACTTCTCAGAATTATGAGTTTGTCACAATTCAGAGTTTTTTCATGCAATTCAGAGCTTATGTATCACAATTGCGAGATATAAGCTTGCAAAAAATTTGATAAAAAGTCACAAACTTTAGAAAAACGTTTTTATCTCACAATTGCGAGATATAAACTTGCATTTGTGAGAAATAAGTCACAACCTTTGTTTAGTTTTTTTTTATTCCATACAGTATGGCCTCATATAGCAAACAGATATGAACTAAACATCTCCAATTTTGATTTCACGGGGTATTTAAAAGCACAATATGTACGATTTTTTTATTAAAATATCTTGCAATTATGAGTTTATATCTCACAATTGCGGAGATATAAGCTTGCAACTCCAATAAAAAGTCAAAATTGTAAGATAAAAAGTGGCAAACTTCAGAAAAAAGATATAAACTTGCATTTGTGAGAAATAAGTAAGAATTGTGAGATAAAAAGTTACACATGGTGGAAAAAGCAGCGAAATTACAAATTTTTTATTTGACAATTCAGACTTTGCTTCTCAGAATTGCTTATTTATATTTCACAATTCTGACTTTTTTCTCACATTAGTAAGTTTATATCTCACTACTGTTTGCACACGATTGCAAGATATAAACTTGCAAGAAAGTTTGTGAGAGAAAAAGTCAGTATTGTGAGACTTTTCTTCTCAGAACTGCAAGTTAACATCTCATAATTCTTTTTTTTTCTCAGAATTGTGATTTTATGTCTTACCATTCTTACTTTTTGTCTCATAGTTCAGTCTTTTTTCCCAAACTGCGAGATAGAAACTCAAGAACTCTGAGGAAAAAAAGTCACAATTACCTTTATGTTTATGATTATTATTATTATTCCATACAGTGTGGCCTCAAAGCAAACAGATATGGATTAAACATCTCTGTTTTGATTTTACAGGGTCTTTGAAGTTTTCTTATAAACACTTCCTGAAAATCAATTGTATCCTATTGAAATGACAGTAATTACTGCAGGCAGGACGGGAAATGCAATGCTAATCAGTTTGGTGGGCACGGATCCAGCCCTGAGGGGCGCCGCGGCTCGCTCACTCCGCTGAGATGAGAATGTTTATTATAATGCTGTTTGCATGGGTGCCTGTGAAAAAACATTGTTGCTTGTTAATAATTTGATTCCAGGAAAAGTAAGCCTTCACCAAACAATAACAGTTACAAATTATTCATTTACTTGACTCAGAGTGTAAAGCACAGTTTAGCATAAATATTGATAATGTGCCATGGTGAGGTGCTCATTTCCTCTTGTAGATGGTTGTATTTACTAAAATAAACTCATAATTAGTAACATAAAAGGCCTGAAGGATTTTGAAGACCATGGAAAACGAGATTGTTTGTCATTTGCCCTAAACAGTGAACACAGTTCATATGAGGATTTAGAGTTGATAGAAGCTTGAGAGAAAAGCAAATTTTCTTGATAAGTTTAGAAATAAGAGAAATGATTGGCAAGGAAGATGACGTGCAGAATATGACATGCACACACTGAAAATGTTTATTTTATTACAAAAATGTAACTGCATTAGAAAGTTTTTCGTCATTAAACGTTATTATTTTTATATTGTTTCCATTTTAATTTTAGTTGAGGTTTCAGTCATTTTATTCTGTAATTTTTATTAGTAATATTTTAATATACATTTCAATTTTGATTATTTTTTTAAGTTTTAGTTTGAAATTTAGTGCACAAAGTTAAACTAAATGAAAATAGGAAATGTTGCTGTTAGCTATAGTGTAAAGTAAAAAATTTTAGCTGATAAATGTACTTAAAATTTAGTTTTTCTCTTTCAAGAAAATGGATCAAAAATATTCATGGCTTTTCTTCGCATGGGTCTATAAAATGTTTTTGTTTAATCTCATGCTTTCTAGAACGAGAACATCCTTCTCTGTCTATTTCTTTTGCATTAGCAAGCAGCAAATCAAGATTAAAAACAGGCCGAGCTCTTCAATATACCGCTCCAACCTCCTGTTTCAATATGAAATGAATCACCTAAAATTAGTTTAAGCTAGAACTTGATGTTAAGTTTATAAATTTGAGCAGCTGGAGTCTTCAGTGAGTTCATTCAGGCCTGTCAGATAACAAGAGATAACAAATCATTCTGAGCTGAGGAGGTGTATGAAAGCATTGCCTTGAAATTTTCACCATATGGGAGGAAACACTTCATGAAATATTGTCAAAACAACAACACTTCATCAGAGTTAATATTCCACTTAATGCCAACTCCACCTGAATCACACGTCTCATGAGCACTGTTACTAAGCAATAACTCAAGCACATAGAAAAAATGATAATGCCATGGCACTTTGATATATACATACTGTTCAAAAGTAGTACAATTTTAGGGGAGTTGGAAAATGAGCCTATTTTCAAAAATAGTGGCGTGTTCCTTTAAAAATGAATACATTTATTCAGCAAGGATGCATTAAATTGGTCAAAAGTGACAGTAAAGACATTTATAATGTTGCAAAAGATTTCTTTTTCGAATAATGCTGTATCATTGTTTCCAAAACAATATTAAAGAGCACAACTGCATGTTTTAAACATTAATGATGATATTAAGAAATGTTTCTTGAACGTAGAGTAATGGCTTTGCATCACAGGAATAAATTACACTGAAAAAATATTATGTTCTAACTGAATTTTTTTATCAAATATATGCAGCAATGGTGAGCATGTGGACTTCTTCCAAAATATTAACCCCGAACTTGAACAGTACTGGACTTCGAGAATACAACCATCGTAGAATGGAAAGCAAACAAATACTCAAGGTTCTTCAAAATGTAAAACTTCCAAACTGGTATTTGAAAACCCCATATTGATCGTCCCATTAATCTGAATATTGAGGCAGTGGCCACATCAGTATCATTTTTTATTATGATCTGTTAATATTTAATTGTCAGTAGAATTGCTTTTTCCTGCACAACATTCACTTGGTTACATCCGATTAGAAACCATCACACCAGTTCACTCAAGTAAAGCAAAGCACTTAAAAAGTATAACAAAGACAAGCAATTGGCTCTATGACTGAAATTTCCCTCTCTCAGCTTCAGCATTAACACCTCCTTCCCCTGACTGCTCATTTCAGTCTAATCCTGTTCATCACTTCCAAGATGAGACTGGCTCCCGAGGAACCGCAAATCGATAGAAGTGTTCTTGGGGGGCGGAAGATTAATGTGGGAATCACAGGCTTTGGGAAGATGGTTAAGTAGAACACACTCCCCACAGGAAATCACTCAGATCTTAATTAGCTGTTAATGTGACGGAGACTGACACATGCCATGCTGAGAGAGGAGCGACGCACATGGACAGAGCTCAAATGTGCCAGTAGACCAACTGACCCAACTGCTAAGAAGCTAGCACGTTTGTTTTAAAGAAATAGTGCACACAAGATTTGAAAAATTGTTATGATTCACTCACCAATGTTGTTGCAAATCCATTTGAAGATCTTCAGTGGAACACAGTTGGGGTGGTGGCTGGTTTTCATTGTAATGAATAGGGACAGACACTTTAAATAGAACGTATAAGTGTGTTACATTAACAACAACATTTCAATCATGACAACTCTCTGTCATATCCATCACCATGCTAAAATCTTCAATGTTAATGTATTTGGTCTTGGCGGAATAGATCTGCTACGCTGCTGCTGAATTGCTGCTGCTGTTGGTTATTGCTGTAGTTGTAGATTATTGCTGCTGCTGCAAGCAAGAACAGGATCTTGCTACTGCCAATGCATAAGGCGATACGGTGCCGTGAGTATTTAAGACATACTGCTGCTGCACAAATAGCACATAAAATAACCCGTAGCAGATCTATACAGGTGGAGCTGGGGAAGGTGGAGGGTTTCAGAGAAACTCGGAGAGCGTGCTGCAGGAATCTCTAGTGAATGCTAGCCAGCCATATAAATGCAAGGCAGTAAGCTCATTGGCTGCATATGCAGCATGAACCAATCAGCTTGTGCCAAGTCGTTTAACTCTCTGAATATCATCGGTTACGTTAACAACCAGTCGCCTGCGCCATCTAGAGTTTCATGACTGAACTATATATTTCAGTGCAATTTTACAGGCTAACAGTTCCATTGTGTTGTGTAAAGCACAGCTTGCACAGAAGCCACTTTCAAACTAAGCAGATTTCTGTTGGTCAATGCGGCGAATTCACATGACAAATTTGAACACAAACTTAACTTAAAGGGATAGTTCATTCAAAAATGAAAAGCACCCCATGATTTACTCACCCTCAAGCCATCTTAGGTGTATATGACTTTCTTCTTTCAGATGAATACAATCGAAGTTATATAAAAAAATGTCCTGGCTCTTCCGAAGCTTTATAATGGCAGTGAATAGTGGTCGAGATTTTGAAGTCAAAAAAGTGCATCAATCCATCATAAAAAGGACTCCACACGACTCCCAAGGGTTAATAAAGGCCTTCTGAAGTGAATCAATACATTTGTGTAACAAAAATATTCATATTTAAAACTCTATGAACTCTAATCTCTAGCTTCTGCTAACTGTCATACATGCGCTCACGAGAGAGTGGTGTCCAGCAGATGACGCAGGACGTATGTGTAGCGTAAGCTTCGGTGAGAATATGCTAGTCTTGCGAGAACCAAGTTTTGTTTACAGCAAAGGAAAACCAGGAACACAAATGGGAAATGCCTGCTTCTTTTAGAAACTCTATGGTTGTTTGTTGATGGCAAACAGTGTTCAATAAACATTTAACCTAAAAAATGAATTTATATTGGACTAAAAATACAGAAAAAGCAGCCTCCTCATTTCACCAGTGACGAAATTTCATACCTTTTGTTTCTTTGGAAAAAAACTAGTTGAATGTGTCAACCAGGTCACATAATTATTTAAATCATCTTTCAAGTAGAGTTCTACATCAAAATCAGACAACTATTCTTTGTCAAGTATCGTTTCAGTCAAGGGTGAAAACTCTTGGATGTATCAGTTTCATGTTATTTTAAACCAGGTGAGTCATGTTTTTATACAAGCAGGACCAACTTTTAAGCAGCTAATGCTGTTAGCCATTGCATAATCGCACCTTTTCAGTATATCCTGGATATAAATTTATTACCAAAAATGGTAGTTAAAGTGACGCTTTGAGACCCAATAACATGAGTCACGCTCCCTGGATTCCCGTTTAAAGATTAATTAAATGAGAACGATTCCCCCTTGTTGTGAGTTCTTAATATAATGTATACTGTGAAACTCTCAAGTGTACCTTGTCTGCTCTAAAGGAACTAAACAATAGGCCTAGTTATGGCATTTTATAGTCCTTTGAGCCTTATATAAAGGTACATTTAAGACTTTTTAAGACCAAGGTAAGAAAATTCAAGGAATAAACTGAGGAAAACAATCTCTAAATAGGGAGAACACAATGAGTTGTAAACACTTCAAAGACTGAAAATATGGCTTCCTACCAATCTCTATTACTTTTTAAATCATTTTACAAGAAAATAGCTTGAATACCTCTGACCCAACTATTAGAACATGAAAATAATTTCTACTGTACTCTCTGATCACACTGCACAAAAAGTGATGTTCTTCCTTAGCATATTTGTCTTGTTTTCCAATGCAAATGTCTTAGGTCTCTTAAATCAAGATCCATTTACTTGAGAAGCAAAATACCATTAGTCTTTGTTTTTCTGTGTAACTGATCAAAATGAAGCAAGTTTGTAAAAAAACCCACGAAAAAACAAAACAAATATCCACCAACTGACTTCATGTAATGTAACTTAATTAATGTATCTTGTAACACCAAAGTAACTTTATTCAAAGGGAAAAGAAGTTTT